GCGTCAGTCGCTGTCGTCCTCTGTCCTGTTTGGGACTGAACTACTTTTGTCCTGGTTTTGTGGTCCATTTGCTCCTTCCCCCCCTTGCGGCTCGATGCGAGGCGCTTAACAAACGAGCCCAGTACTTGCTGAGCTGTTCCTGCGACGCAGCGGTGCTCTCCAGGGTCACACGGGGAAGAGGATGGCTTGGGCGCCGCATTCCTGCTGACCTATTCACTACCTGCCTCTAATGGGTATATTTTAGCTCTTGTGGCGGTGACAAATGCCGCCGCTCTAAAAGCCCTGTCCAAGGTGCTGAAACTCGGTTGATCTATGACTGAGTCCCGCTGATAAATGCCTCCCATCAGTTTGCTCGTGACGCCGATTCATCACCTCGCTGAGGTTTGTGTTGGGAATCCATATTGGATTTTTAATGAAGAGAATATAATGCAATTCAAAGTCAATGGGTTTGCCAATGTCCTCACACTTTAAACACACACCCATTAAGTTAGATACACACATGCCTACACATACACACTCAAAACTATCTCACACGCTCGTCATGTTGTTTGAGATTGGATTGCATTTCCATAACAGTGTTAGAGCGTCTGCCTTGAAGGGCAGCTGCTGTAATTGTGTTTGTCTACAGCAGATCTCACACTTCTGCTGCTGTATGATTCGGACGGGGACACAACAAGATTTATGAGCCTCATCCATACAAATTAATCTTTTCCATGTCATAGTTTGCTTTTTATGGCAATAGACACATTTCAAAAGACATTTTTTGTTGTAGGAAGTGTCCAAGTTTAACAAGAGGAGATTGTAGTTATAAGACACCACAACAGGTTTAATGAAAAATGTATTTGTTCATAAAATTGTTTACATTATAGTCGGTTTAATTGTACACTAGACTAACAAGATTATTATTTTTTTTTGCCATTATAAACTATCTTCGCTTGGCACCATTTAAAGTAACACTGCAAAGAAAATGCTTTTTGCAGACATCAAAGCCTCAACAAGGTACTTTAGACAGAATAGTTCCTGTGCTGTGCTTTACTCTGGTTGCACTGCATGAAAGACCAGTAGCCATGTAGATTATAGTCAAGATATCTGCCTGATTAAGCTTGTTATAATGACACAAGTTTGAAATACAAAACAGTCTCTGCTTTTAGCCGCATACATAATGTGTATGAATTTTCCTCTGATGCCACCCAGCGGAGTTCCATTGCAAAATGTCTCATCAAAAGTTATGTAAAGAGGGCACGTAAATGACATTGCCCAATGTCCATCACTCTTCATCTTCGCTTAATCCCAAAGTGCTTTTACAGACAAGGGCATTTCTTACATGGGGTCTTCCTGTAAGTCTATTACAGTAGCCCTCACCTTGATCCCAGAACCGCCAAATTCCAGGAAAGAAAAAGAAGACGAGGAATGAGTGCTGGGAATCAGCAGCGTTTCAGCCGGGTCTGCTATCAGTTTCCTGTAAAACACTTGGCTGTACAGAGACGTATAGATGACAGAGCAGGCCACAGAAAACACAATAAAAAAGACAGCACAAGTAGCCATCACCAGACTGTCCCAGTTCTCCGTTTTCTCCCAGGGGGCCGCTGCCTCCTTTGTGGTCACGTTGACACAGTCCCTGCTGTATCCAAGCTGCGCTGCAGTGATCTCCACACAAACCTGGTAGCGAGTGGAAGGCTTCAGCTGTTTGATGCTGTACTCTTTGACATCAGCAGGAAGCCTGGCTTTGAATGGCATCAAGAGGCGGCGGGATTCGGCTAAAATGGACCAATTTAGCTGTGATACCAAACCACCTGTGCTCTCCCAGGA